CATGTCTGAGGGGCATCTTCTTGATGAGTGATATGGGAGGGCCCAGCCCACTGTGGGTGGTGCCACTCCTGGGCAGGTGGGCCTGTGCTGCATAAGAAAGCAGGCTGAGCAGGGGCCTAGGGAGCAAGTCAGTAAGCAGTGTTCCTCCGTGGCCTGTGCTCCAGCTTCTGCCTCCAGGTTCCTGCCCTGAGTTCCTACCTTGGGCTCCCTGATGAACTGCAGCCTGGGAGATGTAAGCTGAATAAACCCTTTCCTCCCCAAGTTGGTATTGGTCAGAGTGTTTTGTCACAGCAATGAAGAGAACGAACCAGAACAGTCCCACTATTCTTTTGGTACATCCTTTACTTTGCCATAAGATGCCTGCGCAGCAGAGATGTCAACCTTCTTTGAAGTTCTCTAGCTTTTACATGATTAAGTCTTGAACCTGATAATCTGTGCTCATAGCCCTCTACTGTAGCAGTTCAGGGTTTCCTTAGGTGGTGAAAGGTCATCCTCTGACTTTCATATTTTGCCTTGACTTGTCAACAGTTAACCATGAGTCTGATATCATCTATCTCTAGTGAGTGAACCCATGGTATCCAGTAACAACTTCCAATTCCATGGTCTTTTCCTTTATGCTTCTCTAGTGCCAGGGGTAATAGCTAGCAATTGCACTACCTCAGCACTCCAGAGGCTGTGTATACTGCACCTGCTACCAGGATGGACTTCTTACTGGCAGCTGGCCAGAGAGTAATCCACCTCAAAAAATCCAAGCTAATAGTTCACTTTCTAGAGCTATGACTGATGCTAGTCAGATTCGATTAGGTTTCTTGGGGTGAAGATATCATCTGATATCTACTGTATAGGACTTTGGGGAGAAACACCTGTACAAAGAGTAAGGAAGACAGGACTGAGGGAGGAGGAGGAGAAAAAAGAGGAGGAGGAGGGGGAGCAGGAGAAGAAGGAGGGGCGGAAGAGCAGGAGGGGGAAGAGTGAGAGGAGGGGGAGGAGGGGGAGGAAAGAAGAAAAGGATGAAACAAATTTAAAATGCAGTTGCCACTGAAGATCAGCCATTTCTATGGGGAGCGTAGAGCTAAATGGCCTTCCCGAGTTTTTCCCAGTTGAGGTAAACGTGAAGCTTCATATTCCCATATCAGCCCATCGTTGCCCATAGGTTGTCTCTTCAGAGAGGTATAACATCTGGTTTGACAATTCTTTGTGGTTTAGGGCAGCACATCCTGGGTCATAATTGTGAACTGTCAGCAGTCAATATACTTAACAGCAAGGAACTAGACAAAGTAGTCTTGAATAGGGAATCCCAGAGGGACACCAAAGTGCCCACTGTAGGTGCCCTGTTCTGGTTTTGACCAAGCAACATGGAAAGATCTGGATTTTGGAAAAGTGAAGGAACAAAGACATCTGTGGTGACAGTATCAGTTTCATACCTGCTTATGATTATTAAGCATTATGCTGTTTGATCTTACAGAAGGTGTTTTTCCTTCTTTTATGCCTATATTTCTTCAACTGTAGAATGTAATTACTGATTAGTAATGACTTTGGAAAGGTGCCTAGCATGTTGAAAATATTTTAAAACATTTTCGGCATAATCAGTATTGTTATTGTGTTTTTTAGTGAGTGATCTGGACCAACTCTCTACTTACATTTCCTTTCCCACCGTGCTCTAGCCTAATCCTTGACTCCTTTTTGCCTCTAATGAAACCCCTTCTTTAATCTTGCTGATTTCTTCACTTATTCCCCAAGGTACCATGTACCATGCACAGACCACCTCTCCCCTCACTGATCACCATCCATATCTGTGTCCTTTGACGGAGTAGAAGAAGCATGTGTTTTGGATTGAAGAAATCTAGGTTTAAGATCTTCCACCTACATAAGCTATACAACCTTTGTTAAGCCATTGAATGTGCCTGGGATCAATTCCTTCACCTATAAATTGGAGACAATATCATCTAGTTTACTAGCTTGTCACAAGAATTAAATGTGATAACCAGGTTAAACTCCCAGCACAGAGCCACATATTCTTTAGTTTGCTCAATAAACAGCAGTAATTGGATTTTGTAGCAGTCCTAATATGATCCAACCAGATAGTCATTCAATGCACAGTTATTCTAAGAACCTACATTGCAAAGATCCCTGTAAGGGATAAGGAAATGAAGGAGCTGTGCTCCCTGCTGCCCAGGATGGGATCAGTTTCCTAGCAACTTTCCCCAACATTTCCTCTGTTTAGTCACACTCCTTGCCTCTCCCTCCTCACTCCTCCCAGCACAGACCTGCGTGTTATCAGGACACTAACCTCTTTGGCACTGAAGTTTCACTGTCTTTGTATCTGGTGTTTCTCCCAATGTATTAGAAGGTATTTGAGTGGAGAAAGTACTCTTATACAATATAACAGACATGTGTGAGAACCATCACATCTATTTTGTGAGACATGATTTAAAAGTGAATTTAAGATGTGTATATACTGGGCTGAAAACTGTTTTGGTGTGTGAAAGAGGTCGGGGGCAATGAGTGTGGGTATGTATGTGCAACATATACACATAGTGTGCATAAAGGTCAGAGGACAGCCTCTGATGTCGATCCTCACTTTCCACCTTGTTTGAGACAAGGTCTCTTTGGCCCTGTGTAAATAAGGCTAGCTGGCCATCAAACTTCCAGGGGGTTCTCTGATCTCTGTCTCCTGTTCCTGTAGGTACACTGGGATTACAGCCTTGCCCTACTGTATGAGACTTTTACATGGACTCTGGGAGTCTGAACTCAGGTTTTCAGGCTTGTGTGGGAAGTGCTTTTACTTACTGAACCATCTTCCTAGTCTTGGTTTCTGTTTTGAATGCATGCCATGGACTGCATTAGAGTTTAAACATTTATTAAGTATATTAATTATACAGAGTAATAGGTTTCATAATGACATCTCTACTGTGTATCATGGGAAAGAAAGGAAAATCGCAGCAGGATACCCATGGCAAGGCTCCTAGCGTGGATGCTGATGCCCCTGTGGACTCCGGATTCCAAGAACAGGGAGCCTGAGGGGTAGCAACTGACTTCAGAAAAGCTCCCCTGGGGTTGGTGGTGATTAGAACGATAGGCAGTCAAGGGAGACATGCTCAGGATTCTGAGCTCTGTTTATTGTCCGGGCAACAAGGAGGGACCGCAAGTATATCTAGAAACCCCAAGTGCCTGTCTCTTGGAAAGGGAGACAAAGCAATTGCTCAAAATTTCCCTCCAGAGGTCTTTAGTTTCTCCAGAGCTTTAGATTGTAACAGTAACATCACTGCCTCCTCCTTCTAGGTTAACCTGAGAGAGTAACCAGACTCTAACCTTTGAAGATTTGGAGATAATTTTCTAAATGTGAAATTTGAACAGACAGCTTGACAGTTAACTGAAATGACCACAGGACAAAAATCCTTAAAACTGACATGAAACTAGAAATTCTAGGACATGGACCTTCCCTTTCCATAGGAACTTAGAGGTTGGATTCAAAGTGTCTCAGTGCCTTTGGGAACAGGAAACAGCTGCCTGTGTGAACTGCAATCTTGAGTCCTGTAGCTCCTGGAGCTCTGCAGAGATGCAGTTGCCATCTGAGGCTCTTCTGTACCATGGGTCCCACCATTCTTCCTGGATTCTGAGCCTCATGCCTCACTGGCTGTTATTTGTACTCTGAAGAGGATGTTAATTGGGAAGGTAAAATACAATATCAAATGCTCTTTTTTTGTGTGTGGTCTGTGAAAGGCCTCTAAAGCTTAGCTTAACTCCAAGAGCTTAAATCAATAGCTCTAGCCCATTTTCTAATCACAGGGGATTTAATAATGATCAGGAAAGCCATCGTCAGTCTGATCTGTGAGACTGTTAGGACTTTAACTCTTGGAAAACAGCTTCCTGTCAAACTTACACACTGTTATCATATTAAATGTCACTCAGAAGGGTATTAAAACCCTTCCTGAGGAGAAAGCATTATGGGGGTTCTATCAAAATTACTATATATGCTGATGAGCTGGTTGCTGGGGGGAAAGCTAAGACCCCAAGGAAGTAGCAAGAAAGTCTTGTCTAGATTCATTCAAACCAGGAAAGAAGTCTTCTTTGTGACTTCCAATACTCTGTTGAGATGCCTCAGCCTAAACAAGTTTGCTTTCATCCTCTGAAGACTGGAAAGCCTTAGGGGTACCTGAGGAGGGGTAGACTGTTTCCTCTTTCTATGAGAGCCAGGACACTGCACAGCTCCCTGCAACAGGAAGACTCCATGCCTCTAGCACTTAACCTCACTACACATCACAGTGTTCCACAATGATGTATTTCACATGTCAGATCTCAGCCATTTCACATGTCAGATCTCAGCCATGGAGTCATGGGGTTTCCCATAGGTAAATCCAATGCCATAGTTTTAAGAGGTTGTCCTAGTTAGCTTCAGCTATCAACTTGACACAGACCAGGGTCCTCTGAGGGAGTCTCAATTGGAGGATTGCCCAGATCAGATTGGCTGTGATCTTGTCTGTGAAGAATTGTCTTGACTGATGATAAATATGGGAGGGCCCAGCCATCTGTAGGCAGTGCCATCCCTAGGCAGATGGGCCTGACTGTAAAAGAAAGCTAGTTGAGGGGGAGCCAGTGAGCAAGCCAGTGAGTACTGCTCCTCCATAGTTTCTGCTTGAGTGCCTGCCCTAACTTCAATCCATGATGAGCTATGTGGTGGTTTGAATGAGAAAGTCCTTCATAGGCTGTAGCCTTCTGGAACTGTAAGCCCAATAAACTCTTCTTTCTAAAATTTCCCTTGGTCATGATGCTTTATCACAGCCATAGAAAGGAACTAATACAAACCAACCCAAGTTCCTTTCTGTCATGGTATTTATCACAACAAAAAGTAAACAAGAACATGGATTGGATGTTCAGAGAGAATCTGAACTAATTAGTGGGGAGCAGATAGTTGAGCTTGCCTTGAAGGGAACCCTAAAGGAAATGGGGAGAAGTGCAGACAGCTGGAGATAAGCAGACTTCAAGAGGAAAGGTTGAGGATGGGAATGCTGAGTAGGAAAGTCCTGTGTGGGAAAGCCCTATGTGGGAAAACCCCGTGTGGGAAAGCCCTGTGTGGGAAAGTCCTGTGTGGGAAAACCCTGTGTGGGAAAGCCCTGTGTGGGAAAGCCCTGTGTGGAAAAGTCCTGTGTGGGAAAGCCCCGTGTGGGAAAGCCCTGTGTGGGAAAGCCCCATGTGGGAAAGCCCCGTGTGGGAAAGTCCTGCGTGGGAAAACCCCATGTGGGAAAGCCCCGTGTGGGAAAGTCCTGTGTGGGAAAGTCCTGTGTGTTTTCTTTGCTGGCCCTGGATGGCCATACACAGGGCTCTTCTCTTCCAGAAGCTAGTGGGGCAGAGAAATGATTGAATAGCATTTGGTATGGCTGGTTCCTTCTGTCTGTAGGCTCCTGTCAGATACCTTTCTCACTCTCAGCAGCCCTGTGTGGGAAAGCCCTGTGTGGAAAAGTCCTGTGTGGGAAAGCCCTGTGTGGGAAAGTCCCGTGTGGGAAAACCCTGTGTGGGAAAGCCCTGTGTGGGAAGGTCCTGCGTGGGAAAACCCCATGTGGGAAAGCCCTATGTGGGAAGCCCCTGTGTGGGAAAGCCCCGTGTGGGAAAGCCCCGTGTGGGAAAGCCCTGTGTGGGAAAGCCCCATGTGGGAAAGCCCCGTGTGGGAAAGTCCTGCGTGGGAAAACCCCATGTGGGAAAGCCCCGTGTGGGAAAGTCCTGTGTGGGAAAGTCCTGTGTGTTTTCTTTGCTGGCCCTGGATGGCCATACACAGGGCTCTTCTCTTCCAGAAGCTAGTGGGGCAGAGAAATGATTGAATAGCATTTGGTATGGCTGGTTCCTTCTGTCTGTAGGCTCCTGTCAGATACCTTTCTCACTCTCAGCCGACTTTTAACATCCAGAGTCATTTCCAGGGCTTGCCATTGTGTCAAGAAGCATTACTGAAATAATGTAAGCTATATGTATTGTACTTTACATCACTAGCCCTGGAGACAGAATGCTCATGGAACATGAGGACAATCACTTACTTAAAATTTTTTGCGGTCTGAAGTCTTTTTTATATTTTGGAGATAATCTCATCTAGTGCAGGTTGCCCTTGCACTCACTGCATAGGAAAGGATGACCTTGAACTTAAACATTTTTTACATTTATTTGTATTTTATGTCTATGAGTGTTTTGCCTGTGTGAATGTTAAGTGCACTGCATGCATGCACTGGAGGCCAGAAGACGGCATTAACTCCCGTAGAATTGGAGTTATGTATGGTTGTTATCAGCCATGTGGGTGCTGGGAAACAAACCCAGGTCCTCTGTCAGACCAGCAAGTGCTCTTAACCACTGACCATTTCTCCAGTTCCAATCTTGAACTTCTGATCCTCCCGCTTCTATCTTTTTAGTGCAGGGGTTATATTTAGACTGTGCCACCGTGCACTGGTTTTGTGTGATACTGGGGATTGAACCCAGGGTTTTATGTATGTTTGTCAAGCACTGCCTACCAAGTTACATTCGAAGCTTGGTCTTTGCAGTGTTTGCAGTCACATATTACAGGCTTTAACAACCCTTAGTTTCTTTCACAAGGTGTGAGCCTCTGGTAAACACCGTGAAAAGAGAGACCAAGGCATTGGGCACTATGTATTTAGGAACCTGGGTCAGAGATGATCCATGATCCTCTGTAGCTGAAGCCATTGTTCCTGATGCCCACCTGGGACCTCCTAGAGCTTTGTGCCTTCTCTGTAACACCTGCCTGAGATTGTCTCCTTGGAGGACAAACTGAAGGCTCTGGAGAGAGCCTTGGTATAAGCTTTGTCACTCAGACTACAATCCCTCTGGGTCTCTCTTTGTTCTGTAAAATAAGGATAATAACATCTAATTTGAGGCTTAAATGTATGTAATGTTTCTAGCACGAGATCTGTCACTTAGAGTACTCAAAGGAATTGTAACTAACATGCATTCTGAAAGACAACAAGGAAAAAAAGGATCTTGAGAGGAAGTTAGGAGGGTTACGCACCTTCACATTTCTATCCATCCACCCAATTCATGTGTTGGAACCCTAACCTCCAATATGATAGAATCAGGGGGTGGGGCCTTTAGGGTGGGGTGGGGGTAATTATGTCATGAGAAAGGAGCCCTTAAGATGAATTAGAGTCTTTGTAAGAAGAGACAGGATCTCCCTCACCCATTTGAGATTACAGTGAGAAGGTAGCCATCTACAAACCGAGACTGTCCCCCTGACACTGGATCTACTAGACTTTCCATTCTCCTGTATTATGAGAAATCAACATTGATCATTATGCCACCTAGCAAATGGTAGTCTATTTTAACAGCCCAAATTTACTGAGGCAGAGAGCACAAAGATTAAGGAAATATTTCTGGGGAGCAATGCTGGGTTCTGTTAAAAACACCTGCTTGGGGATATCAAGGATGCCTTATCTCTCAGAGTCCTCTTGAGGTTTCCAAGAAATGATGCATGTTCATGACACCCAGGAGATAGGACCAGCAATTGAGTTACAGCATATATCTATATACATGGCCTAACTTTAACCACAGTTGGTGAATTAAGGCCGTTCCATGTGGCCCAGGTCTCTCTCAGTTCCAAGAGCTGTCCATAAGCCCCAGGGCATGAAATCATCAGTATCAACCAAAGACTCTTATTTTGCTGTGCCCCGTCTATTACCCATGTTGGCGAAAAGAAGTAGAGTATTGATACTTTAACACAGCATACACAAGATATCTTGCTACTATTCATCTTCTCCATTAAATATACTTGATAGTGATCTTCTCTGTCCTGGTCTTCAGAACAATAAATACCTGCTCCAAGATAATTACACATTAGAAGGATGTTAAATGGATGAATGTTGAATGGATTCAATGATCAAGTAGATCTAATAAAAATTTGATTATCTGACTATGTATAAATTGGTGAAAATTGTAATTTCAGCATGTTAAAGGCATGACCCATGTGGTCAGTGCTTGATTGTTTCATTTTTAGTTCACTGGGGTTTCTGGATCATCACCTGGCTTCCCTGTCACTTCTCCCTCCTCTTTGCCCACATTGCATCTTTGCAAGCTATAAACATGCTTGAGCAGAGCAGGGCAGCTGTAGCTAGGCAAGGGTGGGAATGCCTTTGTTCCAGAAAAATTCTACATCTTCTGAGTTCAGGCAACAGGGTGAACAGTTTTTCAGTGGTCTGTGTGCAGTCATTTCTCTGTCTCTCTGATCCTCAGAGCCATGCAAAAGGGAAAAAGTCAGACAAAACCCCCGACTTCCTCAGAATCTTCCATGAATTGAGAGCACTTGCAATCTGTCTGGGGCCACAGTAATTGAAATTAATTGGATTTGGGAGATAATAACATTTATGCTAATGTGTGTATTGAGAGGAGACAATAGTGGGAGATAAGTACCTAGGAGAGGTGGGGCAGGAGGATGTGCAGTCCTGGCAGGAGAGATTAGGAGTCTAGGGAGAGAGGGTGATAGGGAGGGGTGAGGAAGTAGAGTCTTCAAGAAAAGTGGTTTTGGGCAAGCAAGATATAAGAGCAAATAAGGGAGGGACACTAGAAAAACTTCCTTGGATAATAATAGCAATGGCATTAATCCCGCCTGTGCCCTTCACTGATGCCTTTCTATGTACGAGGCACTATGTGTTTGGATTTGTAATGTCATTTTCTCCTTACAGCAAGCTTATAAAGTCAGTACTAATTTGCTGTTATTTTATCCACTCCCCTCCTTTCTCTCTGCAAGATGTATATGAAAGTCCTCTTGGGGAGGGAGGTCAAATGGCAACCTGGAGTGTTGGCCCTCACCTTCTGCCTTGTTTGAGATAAGGTCTCTTGTTCGCTGCTGTGAAAGCCATGCTAGCTGGTCTGCAAACTTTTGGAGTCTCCTGCTTTCCATCTCTCCATAGGGATGCAGTGATTATAGACATGCTGCTGCATCTGGCTTTATGCACGTTCTGGGAATCTGAACTCACCTCTTCATGCTTGTGTGACAAACGCTTTACCCACTGAGAGAGTCTTCTCCCCATCCTAGAACCTGGCTTATTTTAAAAAGAAGTCTGTAAGCTTAGAAGAAATTGAATGATTTGTCTCAGGTTGTATGGCAATTTCAGATGCCAAGTAAGTCCTCTTTAAAGGTTTACCTCCACCTTCTGGAATCTATGCAAAGCAGCACAGTTAGAGATGATATTCCAAGCTAGAGCCAAGGAAGCATCAGAGTCTGGAGATCTCAGGAGAGTAATTTTGGCCAGGCTAGATAGCTAGGCCTAAGAATTAAGAGAATAGAGGTGGTCAGTGTAAGCCCTTAGCTGTAGTAATCTTTTACAACATGGACATAATCTGGACTAATGACTTTCTTCTAATTTTGTAACCAAAAGGTTACTGTTTATAATATAAAAAAAACCTCACTGAGCCATGTGCTTCTCTTGTGATCTGGGCATATGACCTTAGTCCCTCAGGACCCCCCTTTGCCCTCCACTCAAGATAGTGAATAAATATGTGTGCTTGCTATGTACATCAAAGCACTGTGAGTAGCATGTCTTTCTCATTGCAAACAACGAGACGAATTGAGAAGTCTTTCTGTAATTGTGTGTGTGATGTTTTAGGCCCAGAGATCAAAAAGCATGGTCCTCTGATGACATGGAGGTGGATCCCAGCTTTGATTCCCTAACAGATACTGAAAATATTACTTCAATAAAAGCATCAGTGAAGCCTGTCTTGAGAGCAAGTTCCATGAGACATTGGAAGGAGCAGGTGTATCTCAGAGGTCAGGTCCACTCTTGGCCTCAAAACTAATGCTAAGAGACCATTTCTTTATTTGAGTATAACCGCAGTGTGACTTGGAAACACCACACTTGGCAGGATAGGACTCTGGGTCTGTCCCATATGGTCTGGATATAGGGTCTCCATGACTACTAATAAGGCAAGGAGTAGACAACCGCAGGAGAATCAGTTAATCACACTGACAAAGTGAAGGGCAGCTGGGGTCACCATGAGAACCATCCCTCCACCCATCTTAACCCAATCGCTTTTCTTCCCTAGGCGAATTTATGCTCAGTTCTCTAAGAATGTATAACTTTTTGACTATGTTGAGCTGGAAGAGGCATATTAAGGGGGCAGAGAAAGAAAGGTTAAGGAGAGTATGTGACCTTAGAGGGGGAAAAAAAATCACAAATCAGATGAAGGCAGCAGAAACTTCCTCAGCAAGAGGGGACTGTTCCATGAGTTTCATGGCCAATGCAAGCTGCTGTATCCAGGTCTTGGAAGGCAGCTGGAAAGCCTAGCTTCTTGGACCAGGGCCTCCAGGGCTCTACTGTGGTGGCAATATGGTGGTGTGGAAATGTTTTTGAGATAGATGGAGCTGGAACTCAAACCCATGTTCAAGCATCCACTAATTAAGTGACCTAACATTAGTCACTTTGCCTCCTTAACTGGAATTTGAATGCCAAGGAGCGCTACTAATCCTCTCACCAAGGTGACTCAAACCCTGGGCCCATTTCAGTCCCTCCATAAGCAAATGGGGGTTTTCTTGATGTACTTACTCTCTGGCCACTTGATGAACCAGACAACTAAATTTAGAATTCCTCCTCCTCCTTCTCTCCTCCCCCACTTCCCCTTCTTCCTCCTTCTTCCCCTGCCTTCCTTTGTCCCTCCCCTTCCTGTCTCCTCTTCCTTTCCCTTTTCCCTTCTCTTCCTTGTCCTCTTTTTCATCCTTCTCTCCCCCCCTCTCCTTCCCCTTCCTCTCCTCCATGTCCATCTCCTTGTTTCTCCCTCTTGTGTTCTCTGCTCTGATTTTTAATGTGCTCTGA